GGGATGGGGGGTGCCCTGGGGCCTGCAGGGCTGCCAGCTCACAGTAAGGCTGTTTGTGCCCCACGGCAGGGTCGCTGGATGCCCATCAAGCCCCAGCCCAGGCCCTGAATGAGACTCAGTTGGCACTGGAACGCCTGAGGCTGCAGCTGGGCTCCCAGGGGGGCCTGCAGAGAAAACTGAGGCTGTTGGAGCAGGAATCTGAGCAGCAGGAGCTGCAGATCCAGGACTTTGAGAGCGGCCTCGCTGAGATCCGTGCCGACAAACAGAACCTGGAGGCCATTCTGCACAGCCTGCCTGAGAACTGTGCCAGCTGGCAGTGAGGGCTGCCCAGACCCCCAGCACACACCCCCACCGGCTGTTTACATGACCCGGGGCTTGGACGCTACCCCACAGGTGTGCCCACACCGGCACACCCTGGAGCTGGCTGCTGTGGACTCGCTCCCAAGCGAATAGTCACACTCCTTGCTGAGTCTGTCTGTGGCTTCTTCCCTGCCAGAGGACTGAGTGTACGCAGTCAATTCACCTGGGCATCACTCCCACCCCTGCACATGCATAAATAGGCACGCCCCGACGTCAATAACACATACACACGCGAGGGTGCATGTCTGTGTATGACCCACACGTTTTCAAGTCCAGTCCATCCAGTCCACAGCTTACTGTCCACACACACATGACAGTCTGCAGCTGCTGGGAGAGCTACCTGTGCGCTAGGCACCCTCTGGATTCTGGGCAGGTTGTTACAGGAGATACCCTGGGGTGCAAACATCCATTCTCTCCACACAGGGAGATCTCAGCAGATCTGCAGAGATCAAGGGGTCAGCAAGAGCCGAAGCCCCTAGTTCCAGAGCTGGCTGCGCTGTTTCATGACAGCTGCCTGACATCCATCCCTGCATGTACACCCCACAGCTCGACACAGCCAGGAGACCAACAGGCCAAGAAATGCAAGATTCTGGGAGGGTTCTCAGCAGTGGAACCTGAGGCCCAGAGAGCCCTGAGGCCATGGCCAAGCCTGCTAGTCTGGCTAGAGCAAGGCCTACTCTGGTGGGGGTGTCACTGGATTCACCGGATGCTTCCCTCTCAGGGTCCCGGGACTGCACCAGATGCCCTGAGGGAATGGCCCACACTTGAGGGTACAGGTGGCCTGTACCCACTTTAGCCTGTGATCGATCCCAAGAGCCAGCCCAAGAGCACCTAGGTCAGGGGGCTCAGGCCCTCAGGAGCACCACTTTGTGCCCCCAGCAACCCAGCTGACCTTTAATTGATGCTTCCCAAACCAGCCCTGCAGCACCACTTGTCATGCAGGAGGTCACAAGGGTGTGGAAGCCTGGCTGCCTTTCCAGTCTGTCCTGCCTGGGAATTGCCCTATGGCCAGGCCCTCGAGCCCAGGACTCCTCGGCATTTCCTCTTGGCACCCCTCCCCTCTTCCAGCAGACCTCAAGGCCTTGGCATTGGGAAGACAGATGCCTCTGCAGGCCCAGCCCCTACCCACGGCTTCCCTGACAGGGGCAGGGGTAGGGCAGCAGCACAGACTGATTCTGTTTAACGTGGAAATAAAGGACCCTTTTACTGGGCAGGGCAGTGCCCCTCATCCTCCCTGCTGGTGGGCAGCCAGCCAGGGCCCTGGCTGTGGGTATGCACATCACACACCTGGCAGGTGGCCAGTGTGTGGACCAGACATCGGTAGGAAGATAGCAAAAGCTGAGCTCGTGGCTGGGCCAGTAAGTCCCGTTAGAAGGCTTTGCTGGGGTCCTGTGGCCACAGGTACCTACCTTCTCCTATTAGGCACTTACCACGCAAAGCCTAGGAACTGGGGAGTGGGAGGGATGAGGTGCAGAGAGGCCCTCAGCTGACCTCTGTTCAGGCTGGAGATTAACTCACAGCCAAGTGTGAGGACAGCGAGGAGCAGGGAGGGGCGCCATCAGGGATGGGAAGGGTGTGGGTCGGGCCTTGAAAGGTGGGGAGGTAGAAGAGGAAGCAGTCCAGGCAAGAGGGTGGATAACAGTCTGGGGCCCGCAGGGTGGGGACTTGGCCAGCTCTCTCACTCCAGGAAGCCAGGTGGAATGGGGTGGGATGTTCGAGCTGCTCACTTAGGGTTCTTGGCCCCAAGCCTCAAACCCCTCCGGAGGTGGTTTCAGCAGAAAAGGGGTGTTGGGAGGGTTGCTTGGAACCCTGGGGTAGAAAAGGCAGCCAGGCGTTGGAGATAGCCTAGGGAGGAGTGCCCGAGATAGATTGGCTTCCCTCTTCCTCCCTCCCGCCTCTCTTCTTGGTCTCTGTCTCTGCTCTCCTCTCCCGTGTCTGCTTCCTTCTTTTCTCTTCATTTATTATTATTTTTTGAGATGGAGTCTCACTGTGTCACCCAGGCTGGAGTGCAGTGGCACGATCTCAGCTCACTGCAACCTCTGCCTCCTGGGTTCAAGTGATTGTCCTGCCTCAGCCTCCCGAGTAGCTGGGACTACCGGTGCACACCACCACACCCCACTGATTTTTGTATATTTAGTAGAGACAGGGTTTCACCATGTTGGTCAGGCTGGTCTTGAACTCCTGAACTCAGGTGATCCACCCACTTCGGCCTCCCAAAGTGCTGGGATTACAGGTGTGAGCCACCACACCTGGCCCATTCTTTTCTCTTTGCAGAGTGGCTTTCTTTGCTTTGCTTGTGCCCAATGGGAGTGGACACCCACCCCAACCGCCATCCCCCTTGATGGCCCCAGGTGTACATGTCATCAGATCCAGTGCTTGCAAGAGACAAGCTGGTGACTCTGTCCTGATTCCAGCTTCTCAGCTTAGGTGAAGTCCCCCCAACTCTTGTTCAGGATAATGAGGATCTCTGGATCCAAGACCACATAATGATGATGGGTGCTGCTCCCCCCAACCTAATGGGAGATGGTGTTCAGAGCAGAGGCGTGCTCCGCCACAGAAAACAATAAAATCAAGGCTATGGTGGGAAATTGGCATGATTAAACCGAGCTAGGGAGTGACTTGGTAGACGCATGGGCAGAGGTAGAAGGCCGGGGAGCTGCTGCTGCACAGTGAGTCTGGTGATTGGCATCTGGTGTAAATGATGTTGAGAAATGGGGTTCTTCCAAGATCTCTGGGATAGGGTCTGATGTCCCCCTCACTCCTCCCTCTGCTTTCTCGGCTGACGGCACACAGTCGCCCTGCTGCCTGCTCTTGGCATTCAGCCTTTTATCCATGCAAGCTGTGAGTCCCGCTAAGTGCAGTCCCAGCATCCCCAACGGGTGGAGCACTCGGGCCTAACATCTTGTGACTCACGCAGTCTGATCATGCCTGGTGCATGTGCTGATCTACTCTCCGGCCTCAGAGGTGGGGCCGCTGCCGGGTGGAATGCGGCAGTTGTTGAACATCTGGCTAGCAATGCAGTCCAGAAGTTGAGCAGGAGAAGGTGGGGTGGCCCTTGCCCTGCGGGATGGCTGACTGGGGCCAACCAGCCCAACTGGCCAGGGCAATAGGCTGCTGGAGCCTTGAGGGGGAAGTGCATTATGAGGGCTCTGTCCTAAGTCAACTCCCATCAACCAAGGGTGGTAACAGTAAGTTCTACTCTCTGCTTAAACCATCCAGCAAGGCATCGAAGTTACAAAAGCCCCTGCTTAGTGAGTTCTGGGTTACTTCATTCTGAAGATCGGGGCCTGAAGCTCAGCAGGCCAAGTGCCTCGCCCAAGGTCATGCAGCTTGGCCAAATCCAAACCCTTGGGTAAATGGACAGAGGACCATCATCTAGGAGAGGCAGGATCTGGTCAGGCTGGGAAGGGGGGACCTGCCCCCTGGAATGCTGCCCTGACCTCAGCCCCATCCCATTCTGCCCAGCTCCTCACTGGCCACTTCCCTCCCCAGGTACAGCCACAGAAAAAAAGATGATCTCGCCTGGGTGTGGTGGCTCACACCTGTAATCCCAGAACTTTGGGAGGCCGAGGCAGGCAGATTATCTTAGATCAGGAGTTCAAGACCAGGCTGGCTAACATGGCGAAACTCCATCTCTACTAAAAACACAAACATTAGCCAGATGTAGTGGTGTGTAACTGTAGTCCCAGCTACTTGGGAGGCTGAGGCAGGAGAATCATTTGAACCCTGGAGGCAGAGGTTGCAGTGAGCGGAGATGGAGCCGCTGTATTCCAGCTCCAGGCAACAGAGTGAGACTCTGTCAAAAAAAAAAAAAAAAAGATGATTTCAGGGTCCCAAACCTAGGAGTCTGATGGAGATGTCCATTGGGAAGGAGACTTCCTGGGTGTAATCCTAAGGCGGCCCACTCGGTGTGCACAGTGGGTGGGGCCATTCCCAGTGCTGTCTGCCCAGGACAGTGCCTGCCCGTCTAAGCCTGTGGCCCAGCATCATGATGAGGAGTGCCCCCTTCACTCTGGCTGTCCTGATTTGGACACTAGATTTGACGGTCACCCTGGCCACAGGTACCCAGACCTGTGCCCTGAGCTTCGCTATTCCTGGGCTGGTTTGTCATCCTGGTGGCCTTGCGCCCCAGGTCCAGCTTCCTGACTTTTCTCTTCTGGAAATGGGAATTCGGAGTCCTATTTCATGGAGTTTAGAGAATGAAATAACTTGTGCACAGTGCAAAGTGCCGGTGAGTGTCCAAGAGATAGGTTCCATAGTGAGTGCCCAATAAATGGTTTTATTAACAAGACACGAATTCATACCAATTGCTTTGACGGGCCACTGTTGTCGCAACAGTGTTTGAGCGCTGCTGACTCCCCGACTGCACTAGGTCCTCTCAACCACCCCGTGAAGTTCATGCTAAGATCCTCGCGTTTCCTTTCTGTGGCAGGGACTCGCTGAGGTCCGGGGAGGGGCAGAGAGGAGGGGTGCTGCCGGCCGGCCGGCCCGCGCTGTGCACTTTCCCTGTCCTCCAGCAGAGGGGCGGCCGGCGGGCTCCGGGTCCCGCATAATAGCGGCTTTGATGCCGGCGGACAGGGAGGCGGGAGGGGAGGGAAGGGACGGGGCCGGAGGGAGGGAGGGGCCGGCAGCGGAGGAAGGGGTGTGTCGGCCGCCCGCGCCGTCCCTCCGCCCCTCGGTCCCGCGGCCACACGCAGCCAGCCGGAGCTCGGACCAGGTGCCCGTGCCTCCTCCCCGTCCCTCGCCGAGTCCGCGAAGACTGGAGCGGGCGGGAGCCCTGCGCTTGCCATGTCGGTCGCGCTCAGCAACAGGTTCCAAGGTAGGTGCCGCCGTCCCGGAGCCGCCACCTGTGCGCGCCTGGCGGACCACGGGGTCCACCGCGCGCGGGAACCGGGCGGGGACGGGGGCGCGTGGCCCAGAGAGGACCCCGCTTCCCGGGCCGCCTCTTTGTCTCCTCCAGGAGGGAAGGCGTTCGGCTTGCTCAAAGCCCAGCAGGAGAGGAGGCTGGCGGAGATCAACCGGGTAAGCGCCGCGCCCCGGGCAGCGCGCGAGTCCCGAGCCGCGCGCTGCGCGGGTGCCACCTTCGTCCGCGAGGCCGCGCCTGCCTCCAGATATGCCCTCTTCCTCTCTTTCCCCCGGGCTTCCCCCAGGTGCCTCCCTCCGCCCCCATCGTCGCCTCCGACTCCAGGTAGGTCCGCCTCCGCCTCCCGCCTCCGGTCCCGGAGTCTCGGGTTGCAAGTTGTTAAACTTGCAACTGAGGACTGGGGAGGTGGGGCCAGGTCAGGAGCTCGGATGCCAGCCGGCTCCGGGCTCCCCACAAGCCCGCTTGGGAGCAGCCCTAGGATTTGGCGCGGGAAGAGCCCCAGGCCAGTGATCGCTCCAGCTCAGAACACAGGCTCGGGGTCATTAGCTGGTCTGTCGCCCAGGCTGGAGTGCAGTGGCCCAATCTCGGCTCATTGCAGCCTCCACCTCTGGGGTTCAAGCGATGCTCCCGCCTCATCCTCCTGAGTAGCTGGGACTACAGGCACGTGCCGCCAAGGCTGGCCTTAGCCTTTGTTATTATAAGGCATTCAAGAGTACAAATAGAAGACTCTGATGGTCCTAGAGAACCTGGCAGGTCCCCGTGGTCTCCTGCTTCCCTGCCACTTCAAACATATCACTCCTCTTCACTCCAGCTTTCAGGAGAGGTTGCTCCCATCCCGTCTAATGGACTTCATACTTTTCTTGCCGGTCCTGGTGGATTTCTCGGAAGAAATCCTGCCTGCCTTTGCCAGGCACCTAGTGAAAGCTCCATAAATTTGCTTAGATTCTAGAAGATAAGGAATGATGTCAGGACCTGTCTGGGTTGGCCAATGCTCAAGGGCAGCACAGCCAGTGGCTTTAAAGTTCTGCTAGACCAGAGCTCAGATCTGGCCTCCGTCGTGTGCCAGCTCTGTGGTCCTCAGCAAAGGGCCTCTCACCTCCAAGCAGGGAATTGTGTGGGCTCAGAGAGGGAAGGCATGTGGCCTGCGTGGTCCAGCACCCAGCATTCGAGACGCGCTCAGAGAACTAGCATTATTTCCTGAGGTGGACATCTCCCAGTTTTCTTCTTAACCGGATGCAGAGTCATACCTGCTGAAACAAGGCTTGGCATTCCTCCTGCGGGCTCCCCTGGGCCCCTGGACACCAATGGTCTAAGCCCAGCGGAGAGTCTGGAAGTGGGCCACTGGTGAGGTCAGCAGAGCCCTTGAAGGTTGTGGGAGGCGAGTCCAGACCCTGGGGCCCGGCCGTGATATTGCTTCTTGCCAGCAGTATGCGGCCTTGATTCCCCCTTGGTTTCCTTGGACTGCTTGTATGTAGGCACCCTGTCTTTTTTCCGTCCTCTGGCTACAGGACTCCCATTCAGTCCCCAGCTACAGGGCTCTGGGGACCTCAGGGTTCCTCGCTCCAGGTAAGCTCTGGCTTCCTCACCGCCACCCTCACCCTTCCTTCTGGGGGCACCTTGAAGTCAGCTGGAAGCTTCCCTGGACATCTGGCTGGGGTGCTCAGGGGTCTAAGGTCCCTGCTGGGTTCCTTCCCAGTTCACTGTGTGCCAACCCAGCCTGGGGCTTGGCTGCTCTAGCTTTCTGGACAGAAGGCTGGGACCCTGACCTCATATACCCCCCTGGGTCACTCGTCCAGGCAGGTTCTGAGCCAGCTGGATCCACCCACAGTCAGAGACAGCTGGAGATGGGGGTGAGGTGACCATAGTTGGACAAGCCAAAAGAGCTGAGAGTGCAGGGGACTTTCCGTGCCAACCTCGCCCTTGGGGAGGCGGATGGAGGGTGGGGGCAGCTCCAGGGTTGCTTTGGGAAGTGGACTGGCTTGGCTTAGAAAGGGAAGGGACTACAGCTATCGGGGGCTTATCTGGGCAGCACTGGGACTAGGGGAAGTGAGCAGGAAGGGGCTGTGATCTAACCATGTCAGGATAGTGCCCAGAGAGGGCAAGCAGCTGACCCAAGGCCACACAGAAGCCAGTGACAGAGCTTGCAGCCCAGCGTCCTTCCCCTGCTAAGATGCTGTTCTGAGACCCAGCACATGAGCCCAGCTGCTACAGGGCTGCTGAGGCCGAGGATCCGGGGCCCTGCGGGAAGGCGGCGCCAAGATCACACGGGAAGCTCGAGTGCTTCTCCACCACAGTGGAGCAGGGTGGCCCCACCAGTTCAGCCATGAGGTGCCAGCAAGCACTGATCGGTGATCTTAGGCAAGCCACTTCACCTCTCTGAGCCTCCTTCTCCAAAAATATAATGGTGGTTGTGATTTTTCAGTAAGGCAATCTATGTAAAGCACCCAGGAGAGCTGGCTGTGGTCCTCATAGTTATCTTTCTTTGTTGGTGGACAGTTTCTTTATTGGTGGCCTCAAGGTACAGGGAGTAGAAGATGCTGCCGTGACTCATGCTGGTTGCTCAGCCCAGCAGAGCCTCGTCTTCCCCAGCCTGAAATGGGAGCAGGGATCTCTGCTCCCTCTGGAGTCCCTGCAGCAATTAGCCAATGGAAGTGGATGGAAGCTCTTTGCAGATGGTGGGGGAGTCGCTCTGTGTGGGAGTCTGAATCTGGTTCACCCACAGCCATGGCTGCAGTGGAGAGACCTTGAGGTGGGTGGATTTTAGGCAGAACTGTGCTGGCAGCCCGGACTGCCTTCCTCTGGGGTGCAGCTTCACCGTCCCGCTGGAGTGTGGATTCTGGGCGCCTGGGCTAAGCCCAGGATTGGGCTTCTCAACTCACTGCCAAAGAGTCCCTGCTTCTGTGCCAGGCAGCTTGGGCACTGCCATGCCTGCTGCCTGGGGCACAGCCCAGCTTGGCCTGCAGATCCAGGGGCTTCTCTGGGCCAACACCTAGTTCCCTTTGGGGCCTTTCTCCTCCCTCAGTGTGGGCAGCTTCCAGAGGAGCAGGGTAGCTCAGCCTTACCTTTTTTTTTGAGACAGAGTCTGACGCTGTCGCCCAGGCTGGAGTGCAATGGCACCATCTTGGCTCACTGCAACCTCTGCCTCCTGGATTCAAGTGATTCTCCTGCCTCAGCCTCCCAAGTAGGTGGGACTACAGGCATGTACCACCACACCCGGCTAATTTTTTGTATTTTTAGTAGAAACGGGTTTCACCATGTTGGCCAGGTTGGTCTTGAACTCCTGAACTCAGGTGATGTGTCCACCTTAGCCTCCTAAAGTGCTAGGATTACAGGTTTGAGCCTGGACCTGGCCCAGCTTTAGCTTTTTGTTGTTGTCGTTAAGAGAGACAGGGTCGGCCAGTCGCAGTGGTTCACGCCTGTAATCCCAGCACTTTGGGAGGCTGAGGTGGGTAGATCATGAGGTCAAGATTTCAAGACCAGCCTGGCCAAGATGGTGAAACCCCATCTCTAGTAAAAATATAAAAATTCTCAGCAAACTGACACAAGAAAAAAAAAAGAAAAAAAAAAAAATATATATATATATATATAAATTAGCTGGGCATAGTGGTGCATGCCTGTAATCCCAGCTACTCAGGAGGCTGAGGCAGAAGTATCACTTGAACCCGGGTTCGATGGGGGCGGAGGTTGCAGTGAGCCGAGATCGCACCACTGCACTCTAGCCTGGGTGACAGAGCGAGACTCTGTCTCAAAAAAAAGAAAACAGAGAGACAGGGTCTTACTCTGTTGCCCAGGCTGGGGTGCAGTGGCTCGATCTAGGCTCATTGAAGCTCCCCAGCTCCACCTCCCCAGCTCAAGCTGATCTCCCATCTCATCCTCCCGAGTAGCTGTGACTACAGGCATGCGCCCCCACACCCAGCCGTAGCTAGTGTTATTATTTATTTATTTTTTTTTTTTGAGACAGTCGCCGTTGTTACTCAGACTGGAGTGCAATGGCACAATCTCAGCTCACCACAACCTCCGTCTTCTGGGTTCAAGCAATTCTCCTGCCTCAGCTCCCCGAGTAGCTGGGACTACAGGCGTGGACCACCATGCCCAGCTAATTTTTGTATTTTTAGTAGAGACGGGGTTTCACCTTGTTGACCAGGATGGTCTCGATCTCTTGACCTCGTGATCCACCCGCCTTGGCCTCCCAAAGTGCTGGGATTACAGGCTTGAGCCACCGTGCCCGACCCCATAGCTATTGTTATTATAAGGGATTCAAGAGTAAAAGTAGAAGACTCGAATGGGCCTAGAGATCCTGGTAGAGGAAGGGAGGTTGGGGAGCCGTATGAAAATGCTCCCCTTTTTGGTTTCACTTTAGTTTTTGCTGTTTTTTGAACGATTGGTGTTGCCCATCCTGTGCCAGGCGCCTGTGGGCATTATCTTGTGAACGCTCTAACCCAGGGAGGTAGGTATTGTTCCAATTTTTGAGAAAAGGAGACTCAAAGAAGCTGGGTAAATTGCTGGGTTTAAACAGCCTGGATTTGAACCTGGCCTGTTTTCTCAATCGCTCAGCTTGGCTGGGCCTCCTGCTGGATGCCTGCCCCAGCTCCATGCACTGTGTGTTTGTGTGTGCACGCACGTGTGTATATAGCAGCACCACTGGAGTGGGCAGAACTGGCCAGTACCTCCTACTCCCCCCACATAGCTGGCATTCCCCATGCCCCGATGGCATGGTAAGTGACCCCAGGCCAGCCAGGCATGGCCTTATATGGCAGTGGGAGAGATTTTCTCCAGCTTCCCACAGGGACAGAGAGAAGCCAGCGGGGCTGGAGGGGGGGTGCTGCCCCTCGGGGTGCCTGTGCCCTGGGGCTTAGCAGAAGGAGCCCAGGGGACAGCAAGGGCTGCCACATGAGCTGGCCAGCAGGTGAGATCATTAACACCATGACCAGCTGTGGCTGTGCTCCGTGCCCATGGATGAACATCATCATCTCGCTGACCCCGAAACAGGGCACCCCAGTAGATAGATGCACAGTGAGAATCTGCAGACAGCCCCATGGGACAAGGGTTATCATGACTCCTATTTTTTATTTATTTTTTTATTTTTTTGAGACAGGGTCTCACTGGGTTGTCCAGGCTGAAGTGCAGTGATATGATCTCAGCTCACTGCAGTCTTGAC